TTTTTTTTTTTTTTTTGCAACAGCGTTACACTGTTGACTCATATTTAGCTTGTGGATCACTATGACACCCCAATCCCTTTCTGCAGTACTCCTCCCATGGCAGTCATTTCCCATTTTGTATGCGTGCAACTGACTGTTACTTCCTTAGTGGAGTACTTTGCATTTGTCTTATTTACTTCAGATCATTTTTCCAGTTTGTCCAGACCATTTTGAATTTTAATCCTATCCTCCAAAGCACTTGCAGCCCCTCCCAGCTTGGTAACGTCCACAAACTTTATAAGTGTGCTCTCAGTGCCATTATCTAAATCATTGATGAAAATATTGAACTGAATCAGACTCAGAATTGATCCCTGTGGGACCCTACTTGATATGCCCTTCCAGCTTGACTGTGAACCACTAATAACTACTCTCTTGGAATGGTTTTCCAATCACTTATGCACCCATTTTATAGTAGCTCCATTTAGACTGTATTTCCCTAGTTTGTTAAGACGTTATGAGAGACAGTATCAAAAGCCTTACTAAAGTCAGGGTCTTTAAACCACAATTTGAGGACTTCAATAACTCAGACATAGGTTAGGGGTTTGTTACAGGAGTGGATGGGTGAGATTCTGTGGCCTGCGTTGTGCAGGAGGTCAGACTAGATGATCATAATGGTCCCTTCTGACCTTAAAGTCTATGAGTCTATATACCACATCTACCGCTTCCCCCCTATCCACAAGACTTGTTACCCTATCAAAGAAAGCTATCAGTTGGTTTGACACTATTTGTTTTTGACAAATCCATGCTGTTACTTATCACCTTATGATCTTCTAGATCAGAGGTGGTCAAACTACAGCCCGCAGGACCGTCCTGCCGAGCCCTTGAACTCCCGGCCAGGGAGGCTAGCCCCCGGCTCCTCCCCTGCTGTACCCCCTCCCCTGCATGCAGCCTCAGCACACCGTGTCACCAGCGCTCTGGGCGGTGGCCTGCAAGCTCCTGCCGGACAGCGCTGCAGCATGGCTGGATCCGGCTGGGCAGCGTGGCTGCCAGTCCTGCTGCTCTGAGCGGCATGTTAAGGGGGCAGGGAGGGGGGGGTTGGATAAGGGGCAGGAGATCCCAGGGGGCAGTCAGGGGATAGGGGGTGGTTGGATGGGGCAGAGGTTGTGAGGGGGGAGCAGTGAGGGGACAAGGAATGGGGGGGGGTTGGATAGGTGTGGGAGTCCCGGGGGGTCTGTCAGGGGGCAGGGGTGTGGATAGGGGTTGGGACAGTCAGGGGACGGGGGGGTTGGATGGGGGCTGGGGTCCCAGAAGGGGGCTGTCAGGGGTGGGGGGGTCCCATGAGGGGGCAGTCAGGGGACAAGGAGCGGGGGGGTTGGATGAGTGGGCGGGTTCTGAGGGGGGCAGTCAGGGGGCAGGGGCTAGGCTGTTTGGGGAGGCACAGACTTCCCTACCCGGCCCTCCATACAATTTCAGAACCCCCATGTGGCCCTCAGGCCAAAAAGTTTGCTCACCCCCGTTCTAGATGTTTGCAAATTGATTGCTTAATTATTTGCTCCATTATTTTTCCAGGTACAGAAGTTAAGCTGACTGGTCTGTAATTCCCTGGGTTGTCCTCATTTCCCTTTTTATAGATGGGCACTGTATTTGTCACACATGGGAAGTCAAGGCACAAAGATTTAGCTTCTACAGTAAATAAGGGGCAGCCACTCTATGCAGCACGTATGGCAAGTAGGGTGACCAGATAGCAAGTGTGAAAGATCGGGAAGGGTGTGGGGGGTAATAGGAGCCTATATGAGACAAAGCCCCGAATATCGGGACTGTCCCTATAAAATCGGGACATCTGGTCACCCTAATGGCAAGCACAAATCAGATATGAGCAAACAAAGGCAGGATCTTAGCACCACAGGAAGAAACGTTACTTTTAGCAGGAGCAATGATTTATTTGTGACATGGGCGGGAACAGGGGAGTCAGACAAAGGTTCTGGCACTACAGAGAGAGGGGGGAAGATTTTGCAAAGGGCAACACAAGGCACAAGCCAGCTAGAAGGGAAGGTGGCAAAGGAAGCTCCATTGACGGGCTAGTGAGCTATCTGGAGAAGGGTTTAGAAGACCAGGGCGGAGGAGCCGCCCCTAGAGAGGAATTCACAAGCGGGCAGGTGATTTGGGGAGAGGCACTTTCCACCTGTCGCTTCTCTACACGAAGCCTGCCGAGGCTGCCGCCCCTGACCCAGGACTCGGGCCACTGCCCGTGCCCCGCTCTGCCCAGGCCTGGGCTCCTCTCTCCTGCCCCCTTCCACCGGGAAGCGCCCGGCCCCCCGCGGCTGCAGCCCGCTCCACGCTACCCTCTGCCCCGAGCGGCCGCTCCCAGAACGGCCACCAGCGGCAGGAAAGAGCGGCGCTCGACAGAGGCGCCTAGGCCGGAGCGGAGCCCAGCCGCCTCCTCTTCCCCAGCCGGGCCGCCCTGCTCGCGGGCCGCCCGGCCCCCTCACCGTGCCCGCTGCTCCTCCGCCGGGTTCCTCCTCCGCGGGCCCGGTGCCCGGCTCAGCCTCGCCCGCCTGGCAGCTGTCGCTAGCGCCGAGCACCTCGGCCTCCGGCCTCTCCATGGGGATGGGGGCTCGGCTCCCCCTCCGCGCAGGCGCTCAGCCGCGGCGCCTCCCGGGGCTGAGACCGGCCGGCTGGGCAAACTCATCGCAGGGCCGGGGAGACCCGCCCCGTGCCTCCCCTCGGGTCCCGAAGCCCCCGGCTCCTCCTGTCTGCACCCCGAGGGGATCCCCCTGCCAGTGACCCGGAGTAACGGGGTGCAGCCCCCAGTCCCCCCGCCGCTAACCCACAGGGAGGGCCCAGCTGCACCCTGGACATGGGAGTAATCAACAGCACTAGCTGTCAGTAAACGTGCTCCAACTGCAACAAACTAATAATGGTGCGGGTGATAAAATAAGAAACTCATAATGCCTAGGATAGAATATTTAATCATGCAGATTGGGGAATAATTACTGCTGATTCTGATCGCCTGTCAGGGATCAATTAATAATATGTTAACAGCGAGCACAAAACAGCTATCAATTATTATTCATGATTGAAATGTTGGCATTGTTACAGCCATCCCTGCTCTGACTCCACCTAGCTGTCCTACAGGAACAGAGTAGCTGATCAACTGCAATAGCAAGTGAGGATGTATAATTACATTACTACGCACTGTATTGTACTGTTAGTCGTTTTTTGTATTATTGTTCTCATTATTTCATTGTTTTACTATGGGTAAATAACAAAATAGCTGCTAATGTTAGTTGTTAAGAGCTGTGTGATATTGGCAACATATTCAGTGGACTGTCACTCTAGTCTGACCACCTCACTCTCACTTTTGAAGCCCTCTGCTAAGTGCCTTTTCTGAAAGGGAACAGGCAAGCTTCTGATCCTCCGGTTTATAAATGTTCACAGTTTAGCTACTCTTGTATCTTTCCTCCAAACTGTCTTCATCGCCTGTTTGCCCATTTTTCAGATAGGCACCTTCATCCTTTCTTCTGTTTTACCCCTTATACATGACATACCCTTCCTGAACTAGTCCATAAACCCTGTTCTACAAATCCCTGCTCAAAACCCACATCTACCATGATACCTACAGGAAAGTACCAACTGATAACAGCTAGGTACATGGCCAGTAGAAGCTTCTGATATTTATCTCATTTATTTGGCCTTTAAACTAATGTTCTTGTTACTACTTACTTTGTCCTCCTTCCCCATTCCTTCTGATTGTTGCACCCACTTGTTGCATCTTGTCTTAATTAGATTATAAACACTATCTTTTCCTACATGTACATGTATCATCTGGCAGAATGGGGCCCTGATCTCAGTTAGGGCCTCTGGGCACTATTATAATACAAATAATAATAAATGATTAGGCTGAATATCTTTCATTGTAGCTTGAGAAGTAAAACTGTGCTTCATTGTTCTTTCAGTGGGCACAACTTCAGCATTAACCACAGCTGAACTTGCACACATTCTTCATCGATAATTTATCCTTTTCTCCCAACTGCATTTCAAATAAACCCCAAAACCTTCTTCACACAACTGTGAACGAATATCCTGCATCTGGTTTCTATTCTGTTGTCTTCAATGTTTGTTCAAATTTCTTCTCAGCTGACTTGAATTGTTATCTCACCCCTTCTTTCTAGCAGGGCAAAGAGTTTCCCAAGCTTTTTCACTGAAGGGTTTCTTGGAATGAAAGCCTTTTACAAATATGTGAACTGCTGATATGTCCTTTGAATATGATTGATTTAAGATTTGTTTTATAAACCCAAAGTCCAGTTTAGATGTAAATGCATGATTGCACACTGTAGCACAAAATGTGTTTCCCATTATGGTGTGGTCTTCAGTATGTTTACTCAAGCTATACATTAAGATACATATCTTGTATCCATTACATTTGCATTTAAAGGATGTGCATACTCAAATTTTTCTGATCTATATCAGTAATTGAAATTCTTTAGTGAAACCTATATACAATATCAAACTTTGTTTTTATTATGAAAACAGTGCTATCGGTAAAAGTAATATACATATCACCTCTCATCCAATTATTTCAAAAGCTCTTTAATCATGAATTCTCTTAATACCCTTGTGAGAGAGGTAAACATTATTATATCTGTTTCACAGACAGATAAACTGAGGCACAGAAAGAGATCACGTAACTTGCTTGATCACATTAGCAGAGATGGGACTAGAATTCCAAAGTCATGGGTCTTAGTTCTGAGCTCTTACCAATAGACAACACTGCTTCTCTGTGAATAAGTGTGTAACAGAGAAAAACATAGGGCCAGATTTTGCCATCATTATTCATGTTGAATAGTACTCTTTAATTATAAAAGAAAAAATATCACTTACAGCTTGTACTCACTTAGAAATACTGTGGGTTTTGCTACCTAATTTTGATGCTGAAGTATATGTACTGCACTTGAGGGCCTAGTCTTCCATCAATGCATGAGGGTGTATAGACATTCATCTTACTAAGACAGTTACATGGGCATTATTCGACTATCTTTCTCAGGCAAAAGTCCCACTAAAGGCAATGGGAAGTTTGCCTGATTAAAGACTGCAGTGCCAGGGCTGGGATTTGTAAATAGGAGTTTACCACTATTAGGTAATTGTTTTCATGCTGTCACAGTTACAGGACCAATGGCATTTTGGACCCCTTTAGTCCTTCTTGAGTGCACCCTTTAGGTGACAGGCCTGGCTTCCTGCATCTCTTTCCCACAGTTCAACTACACCGGGATAGGGTTTCTGGGGATCAATCATGTTAAAATGACAGGCCCAACTCAGATTGGCACCTTTGAGCCCTTTCACTTTAGGGACCTGTGACCAGTGAGGTGGTTAAAGTGACTAAAAAAAAACAACCTTATTTTTTGAAACAAAGTAGTTATTTATTCATTCACCCAAAGGTACAAAGCACACATAGCAAATGCTAAAAACAATCAAGGTCAACATGTATATTTCCATTTACCTAACCCTTAATCTTTCCTTATAAGCTTTCATACATTTCAGCTAGACCAGTGCCTCCATGTCTGGGTTGTAAGAAGCAGACTGCTTGTTGCATTATTTTATTATTGTTATTTATTATTTATTATCATAGTGCCTAGGAGTCCCACCCCCATTGTGCTAGGTGCCGTACCAACAGAGAACAAAAAGACAGTCCCTGCCCCAAAGACCTTACAATTTCAGTATAAGACAAGAGACAAAGGATAGGGGAGTACAAGGAAAAAATGAGACAATATTTGTCAGCATGACCACCGCTGGTGTCAGCACACCAACAGCTTAACCATTGTCACATTTTTTGTAAGCCTGAAAGCAGGGCCGGCGCTTCCATTTAGGCGACCTAGGCGGTTGCCTAGGGCACCAGGATTTGGGGGGGCAGCAATTCTGCGGCAGGGGGTCCTTCCGTGCTCTGGGTCTTCGGCGGCAATTCTGCGGCGGGTCCTTCACTCGCTCCGGGACCTGCCACCGAAGTGCCCCGAAGACCGGGAGCGCGGAAGGACCCCCCCGCCGCAGAATTGCCGCCGCCGACGACCGGGAGCGCGGAAGGACCCCCGCCTAGGGCGCCAAAAACCCTGGCGCCGTTCCTGCCTGAGAGCACAGTAGTGTATTAAGGAAGGTTTTTGAAGGAGGATAATGAGTTAGTTTGGGGGATGTTTATGGGGATCCCAAGAATGAGGAGCAGCATGAAAGAAAGCACCAAGGTGCATGTTTGAAAATTTAGGTGGGTGATGGAGGCTGACATCATGGTCCAGTCAGAGGCTGGAGTTGATGAGAGATGATAGACAGGGTGGGGATAGGTCATGAAGGGCCTGGAAAGTGAAGACAAGTAGCTTATATTTGATATATTAGGGAAGAAAGAGCTAGTGAAGCGTTGCAAAGAGAGGGGTGACATGGTCAAAGCCACAGGCTAGGAGAATGATCTTTACAACAGCATTCTGAATAGATATCAGCAGGGCAAGACTGCATTTGTCAAGGTCAGAGAAAAGGAGGTTGCAGTAACTGAAATGGGAGACAATGAGAGCCTGGATGAGAGTTTTAGATGTACCAATTGACAGGAAAGGCCCCATTGTACAGATGTGATGTTGAAAGAATCTGCAAGATTGAGGCATAGTCTGGATGTGAAGAGTTAGAGTCAAATTCCAATTCCAGATGACACTCAGGTTACAGGCCTGAGTGACAGATAGGTTGGTAGTGTTATCCACAATGGTTGAGAAAGGAGGTTGTGACAGATATGGCTATTTCCTGCAATATCTTTAGAAGAGCTTAATATATTATGTTTATGTATCGTTGTGGGCAGGGATTATATATAATTCCATGGGGGAGGGAGACCATAGCCCACGAAGAATATTGGGGAATGTTAGGAAAATTCACTCAGGTTGTAACACCTCCTAAGAGGTCCCACCAGCTGGTAAAACTTGCACATACTGGTTCAAACTGCATTCTCCAGAGACCAACAGACAAAGCAAGGACTGTGCTTGCTCAGGGAGATTAGAGAAGCTACAAAAACAGCAAACCCAATAATAATGGGGGATTTCAACTATCCTTGTATTGACTGGGAACATGTCACTCAGAATGGGATGCATGCAGAGATAAAATTTCTAGACACCATTAATGACTGCTTCTTGGAGCAGCTAGTCCTGGAATTCACAAGGGGACAGGCAATTCTTGATTTAGTCCTAAGTGGCACACAGGATCTGGTCCAAGAGGTGAATATAATTGAACCACTTGGTAATAGCTACCATAGTGTAATTAAATTTAACATCCTTGTTAAAGAAACTCACCACAGTAGCATTTAACTTCAAAAAGGGGAACTGCACAAAAATTAGAAGTCCAGTTACATGGAAATTAAAAGGAACAGTCACAAGACTGAAATGCCTGCAAGCTGCATGGAAACTTTTTTAAAAACACCATAATGGAGGCTCAAATTATATGTATACTCCAAATTAAAAAAAAAACAGTAAGAGGACCAAAAAAAATGCCAAGATGGCTAACCAACAGAGTATAATAGGGGGTTAGAAACAAAAATACATCCTTTAAAAATTGGAAGTCAAATCCTACAGAGGAAAAATAGAAAGGAACAAACTCTGGCAAGTCAAGTGTAGGAGTATAAT